TTGAGTGATATCTGCCCAATAAATATTTGAAGTGGTCGTGGTGAATGTTTCTCTTTACTTTTTAATGATGTTTTTGAATCTTGGGTATCACAAAGATGCCAAGTCGATGCCAATGGATGGCCAGTCAAAATTAATGGATAATTCAGTCTGTTGAATATTGTTGAATAATATTCTAAAATGTTGACATAGTGCTCAAGCTTTCAGTTGGATTATATGGATTTATGATATGAATATTTATAGGGTGGTGAATGTGTAATAGGGTGTTACAGAAAACAGACAAATCTGGTCAGATTTAGCATCAAAAACTGCTATATTTTGTTGGATTTAAAGAAATATTAAGCATTTAAATCATTTTACCTTTTCTCAAATGTCTCACTTTTTAGACTTGTATGGTTATCATTCAATGTAATCTTTTACATCTAAATGTAAATTTTTACCATAAATATATAATCTAAAACATAGTCTTACAGAGCATGATAGATTTAACAATTACTATTTATAATCAAAAATTTAGCACTAATTTTATAGTTATAAAACATTCAAAAATGAAAAGAGAAATTGAAAAGACAGCTCTTAAAATCTGGCAAATAGTTTTTGCCACTAAATCTGACAAAAAGGGGGTCTCTAAGATTAAAGTCTCTTATGCTCACCAAGGCTGCACATATTTGGTAAAAAAAAAAAAAAAAAAACAGTAGAGCAGAATACTATGAAACATTATAACACTTTACAAGAATTGTTTTCTATTTTTAATGTATCACATTGTTTTAAAATGTATATGTAATGAGGGTGACAACATGCGGCCGGCGCAGCCACTGCACCAGCGCTGCATCCGCACCAACATTAACTTCAGTCAGAGACGGGACTGTCCTAACAACCGTGTGCTGAGGCCGCAATACAGAGGTCTGTGTCACACTTCCCATCAATAACATACACAAGCTTTGTGTCACGAGTGCACTACTGCATGCATGCTGTGTGCAATAAAGTTGAGCACTCTAATTAGACACTTACGATTATTGCTCTTGAAACAGATGATTATCATTTGTCTTTATGAATAAGTTTTGTGCTTCACAAAGAAAGTTATCTGACAGCACATTCTCTATTTCTATTTTCAGTGAATGAATGGCTTCTGAAATAACAGCTTGACGTGGATTAGTTACTACAGCAATCTGGTAATAGCTGAAGAATATGGCCAACAGACAGGAAAATGGGATACATACAATGAGATGAAGACAAAGGACTTAACAGAGGACTCTGCAGTAATACTATGAAACATTATAACACTTTACAAGAATTGTTTTCTATTTTTAATGTATCACATTGTTTTAAAATGTATATGTAATGAATCTCATTTTAGGCGATGGCAAAGCTGAATAAAGCATCCATTACCTCGATCATTTTAACACATCCTTGCTTGAATAACTGTAGGCCTACATCTGAACAGTATGTATATATGACCAAGTTGGGTAGGTTTTTTTCGCTAAATCTACCTAAACTGCGTAGCTTTTGTTGCTAAATCGGACAGAATGCACAAAAGTACGTGGCAGTTTTACATTTTGGCGCCCATATTCTCTCTCCTCCTGGCGTCTGGTCAGTACAGTATTAGTTCATGGCCACTAGGGGGCAGAAATGTGCTAGAAAATCAGGTCAGATGCGGCTCAAAATGTGTCACACACTCACATCCTGGCGGAGCACCATTGAGGGAACAAAGGAACTGGGGGTGAGTGCTCTCTAACGCTGTTTTATTTCAAGCTATTGGTTTCCACAAACAGCTTTTTATCCGTCTTATAATATCTCAAATATACACATTTTAAAATGCAGTTCTTTGACATGTATCGTGATTTTAGAATCTTAAAGCGGTGTCCGACTTTAGCTATAGCCCGCTAGCTAATGCTGTTTCGATAACAACGGGTTGTTTGTAAAATATGAAATATTAAAAGCTTTTTATAAACGTTAAACACAGTACAAATAATTTAAAACACATGTTCTGCCTGAAATGCAAAGATTAGTTGTATTTCATATGATATTACACACTTATGTTATTCAGCTAGCGTTAGCCAGTTTCATTCATTGATGTTTTGCATGTTAGCATTGCATCGACTCGCATTCATTTCCTCGGGATGCTTATAGCTCGCCAAGTACAACACCTGTACAATACATTGCGTGTTAATAACAATTATTTGTAATTTTCGCCATGTAGCTGTCGTTTTTATACATTTATCTTTAAATAAACCTCTTAGCGAGGCGCAGGCTCACTCGCCTCATTGTGTGCGCCATTATTCGTATTTAGTAAGTAAGTTACAGTCCTGAGATCTCATTTAGTTCTCCTTAGATCCACATCTTAGTTATTGTTATATAACAAACATGCAAACTGTGGCCAGTTCAAACAAAAATTGTTTCGAATTTCACATTTAAAGCTAAGCAGGTGCTGTATTGTTGTTTAACGGCCAGAAAATGTCAGATTTGATCAAAAAGCAGGTTGACATGATGGCAAGTTGTTGTTTTTTTTGCACATATTGAAAGCATGCCTATTCATGCCTAATACGTTTTTGCCCTATTGCAGAACCAAATGATGGGGATAGCCTGATATCCTCAATCCTACAAACAAGATGTCAAGTAAGAGCACATTTCGATTGATTGATTAGACCACTTAGATGGTTTAGACCTTCTTGAAGCCCACCCATCTTTATCAGATCTTCAGAAATGAGTTTATTAAAGATGCTTAACCATTAATTTATTTGATATTACCACATTCTCTAATTAATCTGTAAATGTGTAAAAGTGGGTGTGCTTATCTTGATGTAATTGACTAACATTTCTGGTGTAACTTAAGATGTGACGAATAAGTAGGCTTTACCACTGGTTATTAATTTTTGATCGAGTTTCGAAAGTGGATTCATTTTTTTTTTTTTCCCCTTCTCTCTCTCATGCAGAGCGGCCACCCTATGCCCCAGCCCCCGCCCCAGCCCCCACAACAGTAAGTAAACAGAACATGCCAGTCATCCATACGGTCCCTCCCCTCCATCACCCAAACATGTACCGTAGGTTTCTTATGGCGCTTTTCCACTGCATGGTACGGCTCGGTACGGTTTTTTAGGAGTCGTGGTAGTAGAGGCGGCACAACTATAACGACGTGAATAATCCCGCCCACTCTAAAGCGGTACTGAACTGCAGTGGAAATGCAAACCGTGCCGTGCCATACCGAACCGAGTCGTACCATGCAGTGGAAAAGTGCCATTAGAGAGGAGAGGAGAGGATTGTGGGAAGGACACCGTATCACATGGGGTGGCTTTTGCTATTTTTTTTTATGCAGTTTTACACAGAAAGTGCTCATTTTTTGAGGCTCTATTAATCCGTAAGGTGCAGAGGAGACCGCTAACTTTAGGCTCTGGAAGCATTTAATGAATAACCATTAGGGCTGCATTGCAATATTTAGTTTTTCTGCGACTTATGAAAAAATACAGGGATTTTTGCAAGGTTGAGTTGAATAGTTAATTATTCTAGAGTGATTGGGGTGATTTTGTCAAGTGAATATGCATAGAACATAAAAATAATGTTTAAAAAGTTGGAAAATGAAGTTTTTTTTTTTTTGTTTTTTTTGTTTTTGTTTTTTGTAAACCATCCTTTTGATGGGAAAAAACTTAAAAAAAAAATGTTTGGGTATTCACATTTGATATATGATATTTATAAGATATTTATATCTTTTTTTTTTTTCATTAGGCCACATTCCCACTGTTTGATCCATTCAATATGACTAATAATATTTTTTTTTTTGTAATTAAGAGTATTAAGAAAAAAAAATAAAAAATGTATTTTAACAAGGTATTGAAGTTAAAAATAAAAATTTAATATTACAGTTACGAAATTAGAATACTACTATTTGTGCCTTGTTTTCTTTTAATTTTTAAAAGTTAACCATCAAGCTTTTATTTTGCAATAAACAAGTTTTACTTTTACATGCTTAGAGTGAAGCGTTTTACAGTGTTTATTTATCCGTATGCAGCTCATGATATGGTGTTGCAGCATCTCAGAGTGGCTTGGTTAATTTTCTGTGATGGTATCATGAGGTGCATGAGTGTAAATGAACAGTGACGTGCTTCACTCTGAAACCCACAGCACATTTGTTCATTTAATTAAATGGCAGGCTTCGCGATTTGATAATCGCACTCTGATTTATCACAGAATGAATTTTATTCAGATATATTTTGCGGTCATATCACAATATTGATTTTATTGGGATATATTCTGCAGCCTTAACTCTATAGACTCATGTGATACACCTTACTGGTTATTCATTAAACACTGTTTGGAGCATTAAGTGTGTGAGCCTCTTTTTGTGCTTAAGCTTTCACATATTTAATCATTGTTCATTACAATAGATACCGAGAGCCATTAGCAGCAATTTAGCATTGATGCTTTGCTCCACACGCATCCTTGGAAATCTCAAGTCCCTTACGGTTGAAATTTGATCCAAATCCCCATTAATTACTTTTAGTGTCCTAGAACTGTTATTTTTGTCGGTTTAGAGACTGATTATTCAGGTCATACATCACCGAGAGATTTGGCTCAAATACTCCCGATCTGAATCTCTAAAGCCTTCTAGCACCTCATTATGTCCTACCACCACCACCCATAGTGCCTGTGGCTTTGCTAAAAATGGATGTAGAATAATGCTAGGGTTGTGCTGCTATCAAAGATTGCTGCTTTTTGCATGTTTTATGCAAATCATGACAGAAAACAAAAGCAGGTTCTCCTTTTCATTTTTTTTGTCCCTTCCTCCCTTGTTTGTGTCATTTCTCATTCGTGTTTTGTCTCATTTGTCTCCATCAGCAAATGCCCACCACCCCTGGGTTTGTGGGGTACAACCCATACAGCCATCTGGCCTACAACAACTACAGGCTGGGAGGGAACCCCGGCGGGAACAACAGGGTAATGGTAGGACCGGTGCCAACTAGGGCCCTGGCAAAAGCCGAGGGAGTAAAAGCCCAGACAAGAGGATGCTAAACTTACATGGCCTGAATATGAAATAGTGATATGCTTTGCTCTTACACTGTACAGACTCATTTAATAGAGTTGAAGGTGTCTGTCGGGTAGTAGAGTCGAGTCTTGGGTGGTTGTGTAGCTCTCAACTAGTAGCTTCTATAATCTTCATGCTTCTGTGAAGCACTCACTCTCTGTAATGTCTGGATGGGTGTGATTGCCGTAGTATGAATTGTAGATTCAGAGTGGTTGCTTCACAGAACTTTTCCCCCATCGGCCATCCTATCACCTCATCATGCACAAGAGCTAATGGCCGTCCGCTCGCATGGCTTTAGATGCCCGTGCCAAATGCAGTAACTTGGCACAGCTTCTTAGCAAGCTTGAGGCATTTTTAGCTGTTGGCTGGTTTCATCCAAACCTCTGCAGAATCATTTCAGGCGTGAAAGACAGTGGCTTTGTGTCCAAAAGAGCTTAATGCATGGCCTTGTCAGCGTAATGTTAATGTGCTGTATTTGGTTTGCCATTTAGGTACGTCTCCCACCCCCTTTGCCAAGCGCTTCACACGGTCATCGTTTCTTTCAGTCGTGCTTTTTGCCTCCTGTCTCTTTCTCTCCATAGTGCTCCATTATGACAGTTCATTGTTTTCTGTGATGACCACGTGTGCCCTTTGTGGTCTCTAACACCCCGCGTGGGCCTCTTTCCCTCTCCCACAGAACTCCTCAGGGATCACCGTTCCTAAGCCGCCCAAACCGCCCGACAAGCCGCTGATGCCCTACATGCGGTATAGCCGGAAGGTAAGCAGGAAGGTAAGACACCCACGGTGTCTGCTTTTACTGCTTGTAAATTGATGAGAGCGCTTCTGCGATCAGCTCGAAGGCTGAGGGGCAGTCAGTGGTCTGATTCCGACCCTTCAGATGATAGACCCCAACATCACTTCATTGCTTTCTTCTGTTAAACAAGGCTGGGAAACTGACGTTTTTTGCTTCTGATCCACTAAACTCATTTGCTCCGTTTTCTTACTGTTGTGAGCAAAGAAGTGTTTTAAAAGATGAACAAAGCAGTTAGGTTTGTTAATGCTTTTTGAATCTGTAATGGATTACTTGTTTTAATATTTTAAATTTAAACATTGTTTAGATTCTAAACATTTTCAGATTACTTTTCTCTCCTGTCCTGCATTCATGCTTTAGTTTTGGACTGAAATATAGGCAAAAATTGGTGCTCTATCTTTTTGGGAAAATGCATCCCTCTCCGTCCAGGAATCCAGACTGCTCTGTGTCGACTCTGAACTGACACTTGTATCTTCTTAGGTTTGGGACCAAGTTAAAGCCTCTAATCCTGACCTGAAGCTATGGGAGATTGGGAAGATCATCGGTGGCATGTGGAGGGACCTCACTGATGAGGAAAAACAGGACTATTTAAACGAATACGAAGCCGAGAAGGTTTGTCTTTTTAACTTTTTCTCGTCTTCAGTGAGACTCCAGAGAAGTCAAGCACTAAGCAATTTTTCTCCCCACAGATCGAGTATAATGACTCTCTGAAGGCCTACCACAACTCTCCAGCCTACCTGGCGTACATCAACGCTAAGAACCGTGCAGAAGCTGCTCTAGAAGAAGAAAGCAGGCAGAGACAGTCGCGCCTAGACAAGGGCGAGCCCTATATGAGCATCCAACCTGCTGAGGACCCTGATGGTGAGATTAGCATCTTATTGTCATTTAGATGGCAAAAACATGCCAATTTATATGAATGAACATGTGACGGTTTATATGAATATTACTTTAATAAGAAAGCCCATAACATTGTCTAAAAACATTATTAAAAATATTTCATATATTGTAGCTAATAGGGAAAAAATAAATGCCAATTGCTTAATTTTGAAACTGTGGCATTTTTAAATAATCTTTTTTAAACATAAAGGTGCGGCCACACAATTTCGGCAAAATTTTGCATGCATAAAAATGTCCATTGTCTTTTGTAAATAGTGGGGCTCGCACAATCGCTAGCCTGACGTCCCAGGGCTATTGTGTCTTCCAGTCGGGCTACCAAAATATATCACCGCAGCTATCTTAAATGCTGGGTTCCCGCGGGTCCTTAATAAGCATTCAGTTTAGATGTATAAAATTTAAAGGGATAGTTCACCCAAAAATGAAAATTAGCCCATTATTTACTCACCCTTAAGCCATCCTAGGCATACATGACTTCCTTCTAGGGATGCACCGATACTGGTATCGGGCCCGATACTGGTCTCCTGTACTCGTACTCGTTAAAATGCCCCGATACCAAACGCCGATACCACACAGCATGTGATAAGTGCCATATTCAGACAAAGAAACACCGACAGCAAAACAACAGACAGCAGAATGGAGTTATTAGAGATTAAGGATGTATACGAAGTATATGTATGCAATGAATATAATGTTAAACATTCAGTATTAATGCCTGTATAGCTGATGTGCGCGAGCTGATAAACAAATTGAGCGCGCGTGAGTGGATTGAGCGCGCAGCGGCGCAGATGCGCGAGCTTGTCGAGTGAATATATCTTTCTCACAGACATCACTGGAAAGTTTGTAGTTCGGTCAGATATGTCAAAAACAAGTAAGTAAAACAATGCACAAGTTAACGGTAGCGAGAGCGCGCGCACTTCTGTTGTGTGATCTTTGATGTTCACTCAGCACACGCATCATTTGGATTAAAACTAAATAAATCGTAAAAATAAACCTTTCTATCAAAATTATCTAACATTATCAAGATGAATTTGTTCTGACACAGTTTAACTCTGAGTTCTTGTCATATTTTATTACCATTTTCTAAACTATAGAGAATAATGTGAGAAATGTTGAAGGTGACTGCATACATTTTGGTTTGACTGTATCTATTTGATAAATGAAGTTAACCAACTAACATTATACATGTTATTCGGTATCGGCAAGTACCAAAAATAAAAGTATCGGTATCGGGCGAGTACTGGAAAAAGTGGTATTAAAAATATAAGAAGCTATAGCTAAACGACAAGCCAAAACGAAATCATTTAGGCTAAAATGAAACTGAAACCAACGTTGGGTCTCTTATTCGACACACATTCAAATGTTTCCATATTGGCGATTGTATTTGAATGCCAAAATAGTATTTATTATGTAGCCTGCTTCACTTGCATTCCAATGTCCACGTAAAACAAAATGGTTTGCATAACATCATTCACGGCGGTACGATGATAACGCTTAACGGCACAGATTTTACTACATATTTAAACTGAGCAGTGTTTTTTTCCATATGTTTGACTGACTGTATTTTATTATGATAATGAGCAGGCTGCATTGTCAAGGTAGCAATGCTTAACTGTGCGGCGCCGGCGCAATCATTTGAATTTTTTCCTTCTAACAGTGGAAGCAACTACTCCTTTTAGTCATAAAAGTATTTTTTAACGGGTCACAGACACGTATCCTTTCTAATTGAATTCAATTCTAATTTAAAATAATTTTGTCGGTTAATGGTTAATAATCGGTTAACGAGCGTCGGTTAGGAAAAATAACCGAAATGAACATCCCTAAACTTGAGCTTAAAAATGAGCTGCACGTTCCAAAGTCAAAATGTGGCACGGGTGTTTTTACATATATAAATGTCTGAAGGGAACTGACTGTCTTCAGAAAAGTTTTGATGGCATTTTCATTTCATCGTGCCTGTAATGCCTGTTAAAGTAGCATTTATGAGTGCAGTGCTGCTTTGTATACAGCCGTTACCGGGGAAACGTTATATTTCTGCGGTCTCAAAAACACCTCTAAATCATGTCATTTTATGGTTTGATACCATAGGCATTGCTCTACCCCACTCATATGGTATTAATTTTATTTGTGCAGGTCTTAAAAAGCCTTTAATTAAAATTCTGCAGATACCCTGTAAATAGTTTAATAAAGGTCCTTCATTGATATTTCTGTTTTGAATTTTGTGAGCTCTGTATAGTGTAGCAATTGCAGCTCACACAGTAGTCACTTTCAAACCAAGCAACTTTCTTTTGGTCAGTGCGGCAAATCTCTATGACCAGCTTGAACCAGTTTGAAGTCTAAGGGTGCTTTCACACCTGGCCCGTTGTTTCGGAACCTGGTGCGTTTCCCCCCCTTAGCTCGGTTCGTTTGGGCATATGTGAACACTGCAATCGCACTCGGATCTGCGCCAAAACAATCGGTCCGAGATCGCCTGAGCGAGGTGGTCTCGGCTTGATTGAAAATGAACTCTGGAGCGGTTCGGTTGTAGTGAGAAAGCAATCCGATCTAACGGACCAATGAACCAGGCTACAACACAATGTATAATGGGTAATTACGTAAGTTCCGTGAAAAGCATTAACTTTGTTGTTTTGCCAATACTTCAAAATGAACCTGTGAATGTCTGTGAGTGAGCACGTCTTCGCCATTCAAAAGCAAAGTGCACTTTTTCATTTTATAATGCAGTCTTATTGTTCTTCCTAGTAGGTGCATTTAAAAAATGTTTTCCCGATGAATCCTGGACTCCTGCTCAAAATGATAAATGAATATACATGCAATATAACGACTGTTGTTCCATCCTGACAGATGACACCTGTGACAGCCAGGGTTGCCAGGTTTTCACAACAAAACCCGCCCAATTGCTATTCAAAACTAGCCCAAACACGTTTCGAGGGGGAACCCCCAATAAAAATCATATTCCGGTGGGGTAAAATGTTTTTGGTGGGGTTCCTCTAAATGCACATTTTAGGGGCTAAATATCACATTATTGGGGTCGCTTAAACCCGCGGACATGAAAAACAACCCGCGGCAACAGTGTTAAAGTAGCCCAATTCCGTGGGAAAACCACGGACTTGGCAACACTGGTGACAGCTAATGCCGAGTTCACACTGCATGATTTTAGCCCGATTTTTCACTCGCCGACAGGTTTTGCGAAATTGCCGACAAATGCCTGAAATCGGAGGCAAATCGGTGCTCGTTCACGCGAGTGACAATCACGCAGTGTGAATTATCAAAGACGCGATCTGAGGGAATCGCCGACACGTCGCCGACGCCCGTGAAATATTTGGCATGCTAAATATCTGGAGCTGTCGGCGATTCATAATCACGCTGTGTGAAATGAGTTCTGACTGAAAAACACATCGGCGATGACCTACAGCCAATGAGAGACCAAGATACAGGGCAGCGGGAAGTTCGAGGAGGAGTTATATGAAACGTAGTTTGTGGACCAGTGTTGCCAAATCTGCGATTGCCGCCGGTTGTTTTTTATGTCAGCAGCTTGAAGCGACCCCAATAACGTGATATTTAGGCCCTGGAATGTGAATTGTACCAGGAGAACCCCGGCAAAAAAATGTGTATTTTACCCCCGAATGTGGTTTTTTGTTTTTTTGTTTTTTTACTGGGGGACCCCCTCGAAAGCAATTGGGCTATTTTCAGGCTAGTTTTGAGTAGTAATTGGGCGGGTTTTGTAGCGAAAACCTGGCAACCCTGCACCAGACAGAGCTGTCGGCGATTCTTCCTATTGTGAAGTCATGCAGTGTATAACCTCCTGTCGTGGTTCCATCGTGCAGTGTGAACACAGCGAAAACTGAATGCTACCCCAGATAGTCATTCAGTGTGAAACCAACCGTGATGCGACGTCTTTGAAAATCATGCAGTGTGAACTCTGCATAAGTGGAATCCCGGAAAATAAACCGTGGAACTTTGACCAATGAGAGAACAGTTTACTCGTGCATGACTTGTATTAACAAATTTGGTCAGTTTAGAAACTTTACCGTGTGAAAGCAAACCGCACCAAGAATAAAAAGCAACATTGTAATAATTTTAATCCCTGTTTCGGAACAAAGCAATCGATCTACAGGTGTGAAAACACCCTAAATGAGGAAAACTTTCTCCCTCATGCTAAATTTCCGATTGCGTACATTTCCCACTAAAATGACTGGATTCTGCCCATGAACAATTGCTGATCAGCAGTCAGTGTATCTGCACTTTAAGGAGTACCATGGCAGGTGTTTTTACTGTTACCAATTAGTAAAAAGCCACATTCAGAAGCTGAGTATTTCTCTGAGAGATCTCGTCAAATAAGGAGGAATTTTCCTTCAGTGTTTTCAAGTCCTGAATTACCCATTTATTTATTTTTTTAGGCTCTAGATAAAATGGGCCATTTTAATGGCAGCGACTTTTTTGTAATGCTACTTTCAGCAAATGTCAGGGGTTTAAATAAGACAAAGTAATTTTAGATATAAACATTTTTGGTATTGTATGTATTATGACCATGTGGGAAGTGAACTACCAGGATTGTTCCAGTGAAATAATTGGCATCTAAATTCTTGAGTTTATAATGGTAGAACCATTCATATTTTCTTGTACAAGCTTACTGCTGAGAAGTAATTATCTGAATAATTCTCTTCAGATGATCATCTGAATGGTGCTAAATTTTAAAAGGAAGTTCTGAAATTTGTGCATTTGAGGAAAAGCAATCTGGTTGTGTTCTCTTTTGCTTGCTTTCAAATATGAAATGTCTCTGTAGACTATGATGACGGGTTCTCCATGAAGCATATAGCGGCAGCTCGTTTCCAGAGGAACCACCGGCTCATCAGTGACATCCTGAGCGAGGTTGTGGTGCCTGACGTTCGCTCAGTGGTGACAACTGCTCGCATGCAGGTCCTCAAACGCCAAGTCCAGTCCCTCATGGTGCACCAGGTATGTTGGGCATGTTAAACACACAAAGACGTAAAACTCAAGACTGTTACGCACATAGTTTAATCATCGTGTCTTGATTTCCAAACAGAGGAAACTTGAAGCAGAGCTGCTTCAAATCGAGGACCGACACCAGGAGAAAAAGAGGAGGTTCCTGGAGAGCACAGACTCCTTCAATAACGAGCTCAAACGGGTGGGGAATTCAGTTTGATCAGTGAACTAATAGCCCTTGTTTAGCCTGAGCTCAAATGCCAAACGCATTGTCAGTGATTGATGTGCGGTTTGTGTTTGTTTGTTTAGCTGTGCGGTCTGAAAGTGGAGGTGGACATGGAGAAGCTGGCAGCTGAAATGGCTGCTGCAGAGGAGGCAGCACGCCGGAGGGCGGAGGAGAGAGAGCGGGAAGCAGCAGAGCAGGTGGAAAGAGCTGCTCAAGAAGAGCAACAGCCTGCCGCCAGCGCCCAGGCCAATGCCAACCCAGAACAAACCTCTGCCAGCGAGGCCAAGGATGGAGAAGACAAGCCCACCCCTATGGAGACTGGTCAGACCTGCACCATTATGTTCTCTAACTTTGAATATTCAACAAAAATAGAGAAGATGTTTGGCTGACCTCTGTGGTGTCTGTTCTGCAGAGTCTCTGGCTGAAACATCTGAAGGATCTCAGGAGGCTGAGCAAGGCCCCCCGGCTGCAGTAGGAGACAAACCGGCCCAACCTGAGCCTGCAGAGGGTGCAACAGACGAGGGCACCAGTGACAGCACTGCTCCGTCTGAGAGCAGCTCTGGACCCCCAGCAGAACCCCAGGCCTCAGACACCCCTGAAGAGCGGCTGCCCACCCAGCCGCAATAACCCCACCCATGTCCTTCATGCTCATTTACAGAGTCTCACTTTGCTCTTGTGTAAAGTCAGTTCTCCTCTAGGATTTGTAATCCTATGACCTGCCAGTCAGTGTGTGAGAACAGTGAAAAATTGCCCCCAGCCAATGTTCTTCAGTGAAATGTTTTGGGAGGACAGCAGAATCTTAATTGGCGCTCCACACACATTCATTCAGGCACACCTGTTTGTTCGATCTAACCCTGATATTACAAGCCCATTTGAGTACTCTCAAGCTTTATGGCCATTAAAAAGTGGGCAAATGCTGAATAAAATATAACGCTTGCATCCTGCAGTCACCAGTTGTTTGCAAAAAGCAGAAGTGCAAGTTTTTTTTGCTGTTGCTTACCATGTTTTATCTACCTGTGGCAAGATTATATTATGGTATATCTTTGTTTCATCCTTTCACAGTTTATTTGAGTAGTCTGTGAGTTGTAGTCCCCCCCCCC